GTATTTTAAACCAAATTAAGTGTTTCGTGCGCGCTCTTTTTTCCAACTTTAGTCAGCCTTCACGGTTACAGAAGGCTAGCGCATGTCTATGTAATAGAATTTTCTGAGACAATGAATTTTGGTTTTTCTTTTTTTTCCAGTAAGAGGTTTTTATTTAATAGAATTTTTGGACCAAAAAAAATCGCAATATATCACCTTGCTTACAGTATCGCAATATATCGGGATATATTGTATCGTGACCCGTCTGTCATGATATGTATCGTATCGCCAAATTCTTGCCAATACACAGCCCTAATTTATTAAACTGTATTTATTAAACTGTATTTATATTTTGGGCCTCCCTTCTGAAGCTGCTGCCCCCGCGACCCAACCTCGGATAGGTGGAAGAAAATGGATGGATGGATGGATGGATGGATGGATGGATGGATGGATGTATTTATTAAACTGTATTTATTAAACTGTATTTATTAAACAGGTATTAGCTGAACGTTTAGTTTTCTTCGTTGCATTTTCAGCACAAATGTCACTCTGTAATTTTGTTCTACTTTAATAATTTATCCGGTAGTGGTATAYCTATAAATGTTCAACTCCTTCAGGACATTTCAGCAATGACTTTTGATATTTCAGCTATTTGTTTATTTTAGCTTTTTCTGCTATTATTTTTTTCGTTCTCTTTGAAAACAAATTGAGCTTTTTTCAAAAACTCTAAAACCTTTAAAATGTTCAGAAATCTTCACTGAACTTGTTCCACTTCATCCTGGTTCTGCCTTTTAACTTTTTTTTTGTTCATCTCTGTATCCTTCAGCTTTTTTCTGATTTTAGCTTTTTTCTGCTTTAGTAACTATCATAACTCCTTTTATTTTTTTCAGCTGATTTCAACTTTTGTGCTGCTTTCAGTTAATTAAAATTTTTATGCTTTTTCAGCAATTTTTGCTCATTTCTGCTGTTGTTTTTATGTTTTTAGCAACTTTTTAGCTAATTTGAGCTGTTTTTGGCTAAACTGACATTTTTGGGATAATTTCAGCTTCTTGATGCTTAATTTAGCATAATGTTCTCCATCTTTTTTTTTTGCTCATTTCAGCTATTTCAGCTACATTTTAGCTTTTTGAGGTAATTTTGACCGTTTTAGCATCAAATGTTTGAAACTCATCTTTTGATTTTCTGCTAAATTTACCTTTTTGGGATAATTTCAGCTTAATTTAGCATACATGTTCTCCTTCAGCTTCTTTTTGCTCATCTTAGCTTTTCAGCTACATTTTAGCTTTTTGTGCTAATTGATTTTGTGCTAATTCGAATTTTTTTCAACTCTGTTCACCGCCTGTCTGCTTTTTTGAACTAGTTTCAGCTAGTTTGAAATTATTTTTGGTGTTTTGAAGCTCTAATTGATCCTCCAGTTTATCAGTGTGCAATGTCAATGCAACGCACACTATTGTGATTCGTTTCCCATCCAAGTCATCTCAACTTTGGCACGCTTCTCCTC